AGTCTTGCGCTTGGCCGGGCGTCGATTGGGAGCTGGATCAGCCTCCGGAGAAGGGACTGGTAGGGGGGGCCCATGAGCATCCGACATCGCTTTGTTGATATAGAGGGACTGGTCAGAACGGCCAGGTGTAGGAGTCCAGGAAGTGGTATTGGAAGGAGGCGAAGATGGCTGCTTCTTGTCCGGTGTGAGAGTGATGCCTTTGCTCTTGTAGCGCTCAAGCTGATGTTCCAATTCGGCAATTTTGTGGCGGGTGAGGTTCTCCTGCTTGGCGGGCTGCAGGGACTCCATGAGGTCCACGATTTTGAGCGCGAGCGGCTCCATGAACTGCATAGCCTCATTGCGCTTGTCTGGCGCATTGTCCGGGTGAAGGGAGCGGGCTGTCCGATCGATGTCGACTTCCCTGCCTCGCAAGGCTTTGAGGATTGATGTCAATAACACCGCCTCGGCAATTGTCTGAGCCATTACCGGTGTGCTGTATCGCCCGTTCGATAGCGCTCGGAGCGCGTGATCTTCTGCTCCTCCACGAAGAAGACGCGTCAGCGGAAGGTCTAGAATTGCTGTTCCTGCGAGTCCGACGCTGCGAGACCACTGAGTGGGTTGAATATGACGGTATAGTTGCAGGCCACGGACTTCCGTTTTGTCGAGAAAGATGTCATCAGATTGAAAGGTGCCGGGAAGAAGTTGCGAATAGCGAGGCTGCGTATACTGCGTTGTATCGCCTTGGCCTAGGGGCGCACGGGGCTGAAGTTGAACTGGTGGTGCTGGTGGTGGGGGCCGAGAACCTGTCTGTGTGTGGGTCGTGCCACCGCCATGATAGTTGTAGAACTGGCCAGGAGGCTGCGGTGGGAACTGGTAGGCCATAGGATTGACCCGGGGTACTGCTTCCTCCCATCCGGTTGGAGCTTGAGTAGGCTGCTGTCTGGGACTGCGGGACCGACCATGATGGAAGATGCGAAGACATCGGTTGCGAGGAAGGGGTTGCCGAAGTCGGCCATGAGTAGGGCCACTGAGAGGCCATCAAGGGATGGTCGTTTATCTCTGGCACTTGCTGATTGATTGACCAAACGCTGGGCATGCGGCACGGGTTGACACGTTGACAAAAGGTTTTCAAACAGAGGCCGGAAACTTCCTTGTCGTTAAGAAACAGCGATCAACACATGCGGATCAACACAAGACCAAGGAAACCACGTCAAGAAGGCCAGCAAAATAAAGTCGTGCTTGCGTCAGAAGGCCCCGGCATGCACTTTTTGTCGCAAAATGCTGTCGGCGGGCGGAGACGGCAATGTGGTATTGCAAGTGCAGCAGCTCGTCTGATCGGGTTGCCGGTGTAGCAAGACCAGCGCGTCGATAAAGCTCATGGAAAGCATGACTGCCAAAGTGGTAGATTGGTCATCTGGATCATTGCCTGATGCAGGTTCACGAGCGGAGAATACCTGTGGGTGGTTTCGCGTCGGTAGGCCATGCGAGTCCAACGATCTGGCTGGCTTCTGGAACACCAGCCAACACTTGCCTGCAACATAGTGTATGACGTCAGGGCGCTCACTGGAATCCAATGCCTCGATGCAAGCTCGTTCTCCCCCTCCACGAATCGGCTGACAGGTACCGACAGCGCGCCCGAACAGCAATAGTTGGGCCATGTTGAAAGACATACTCCAGTTCTGAGACATCATCCGGGCTATTTCTTCAGCGTCATAGTCGGCGTGTCCTGTGATCTTCCATCCTTGGGCGTAAAAGGCTGGGCACTCCGAGCTGTGCTGCCGGGAAGGATGGATCTGCCGGCTTCGCAGTATGCCTCGAGTACCGCCAATACTGGAAGCGTGAGTCCAGAGCAGCATGGGTCGTGTCTTCGTTGGTTCTTTGAGCCTAACTGTGGCGCCGAGGTAGGGGACGGTCAGCATGAACCAGTGTGGAGTGATCTTGGAGTAGTGATGGTCCGAATTGACCTTTGCATAGGCCAAGGTGGAGTGCTGAGACGGTATTCCTGCTGCATTTAGGGTAGCGGCCACATAGTCCAGCTGCTCCTGATTAACCGGGATCCCGTCGCGGACGTGCTGCGAGGCAAGTACCTGAAGTTCTCTCCTCCACGGGTCTGACTGTGGGTTGGGGAGCAGGATCAGCGGTGGGTATGCCTGTGGATTCGGACGTAGTTGAGTGCTTCTCGAGGACGACTCTGTAACTGGGTGGTCTTAGGAGCTGGAGCCGATGGAGCACTGCTTCTGCTGCGCGGAAGTGGGGACCTGTTGCTTCTCGGTCGCTGGGATGAAGCTGTAGTCGCTGAAGTCGCGGGAGTGGCGAGAGCTGCTGCTGCCGTGGATGAGCGATCCGACCGTGCGTCCCTTCGGGAGATCGGTGGTGGCGTCCTGGAGCGAGCTCGACTTCGGCGTTGTGGGGGCACTGACTTGGAGTAGGGGGAAGCTTTGTGAACGTGATCGTTCGCCCTCCGTTGTGCGGCGTGGTCTTGCCGGTGGGTTGGTCGGTGGCAGCATCTGACTGGATGGAT